TGGGAGCTTTCATAGGATGATTTCAGATGAGATTTCCTCAGCCCAAAAAGTGTTCTCCAAAAATCGATTGGAGGCCGAAAAAATCATAACAATGCTTAGGCATCATGTCCTATCTTTTGCCCTGGACCAACTCCCTTCGCCCCCTGGTGAGTCCCAGCTTTGATCAATGCAAAAATGCTTGGTGTACATGTCTCTGGGGTTGATTTATCTATTTACTCAGCAGCCTCGTCATCAGGGATACCAGGGATAGGAAGGGCCAAAAAGGGACTCCTTTTTGAGCTGTCAATATTTAAAACGTTGTCCTGTTTCAAAACACACAGCTGCTGTCTCCCTGCCCGCTTCTTCTGTACCGCTGCGTGCTTAACAAGAGTTTATTGAATTTTATTCCTCATCTCAATTTGATGCGAGCACGAAGCAATTCCTTTTGGCTCGCCCTCACTTATTTTAGGCAACATACTGCTTGTCCCACTTCTTGACATCACTTTATGGGGGAAACGGGACTTTGTCTCTGGTGCATTTAAATTTCAAATTGTTTTATTGCCGGACGAACCCCAAGAACAAGAAAATAATTGAAATTTGTAGTTGAAAAACACTTTTTATGCAGCGCACTTGTAAATCGCTTATTATGAAAAATTTTATTGTAAATTTCAACGGGCAAAGAAAACTTTTTCACCGTGTTCAAGTCAAGTTTTTCGATTACGGATTAATGTAATTTTTCCCTCATATATATATATATATATATATATATATACATATAGTATATACTTTTTTATTATTTTGTTTTTTATTTTTTCTTGCTCGCTGACCCCTCCTAGCGCTCATCTAGTTTGTTTGACTTGGCGAGTCGGCTTGAAAGTTTGATGAATTTTTAAATTTAAAAAGTTTATTTGTGCGTTTGTAAGTTAGACGAGGGCCGGAAGTTCTGCGGATTATTATTAGAAGTGCAGGATGACTGACTCCGGCACTTCAAAGCAAGTTTGCTGATGAGGTTGAAACGCGCTCGCTAGTGGCGCCTTCTAGTTGAGGCCCAACAGGTTTCTTCAAATCCCCAGTCCCCAGTCTTATTGCCTAATTTTGCTTTTTGCCCCACTGCGGAACCTTTCATGTTTCATTGTCAATATCCTTATTTATTTTGTGGTGCGACCAAAGTGCTTAGCGGTATTTATTGGCACCTAGGGGTTGTTTGCCTGCTCTTCAGTTTCACTGATGTTTCTCTCGCAATTCTGCGGCGCTGTTAATATATATGTTTGCCTAACCAAACTGCACAGGGGAAACCACAGAGAAGGCAGCTTGTTAGTCTTTATAAATACAAATAAAATTAAGTATTATTTTAAATCTTTTCCCAAACCTTACTGAAAAGCAATGCAACGGTATTTGTTGCCAAATAACAATAAAAGGTGCACACAGCAATGCGAAAGGGATCGATGCGTAAACTAATTAATCCCAAAATATTTTCATGTCCGACTGGCTGCCTTTAATGACGGTCAGATGAAAAATCACGCAAAAATAAAGCGAAAGACTAAAATCAACTTTTAAATCGGAAAATGGATGAGGGCTGGGGTGTCAGGTGTTGTCGGGGCGTATGTTAAACAAAATCAATTACAGATAATTTAACATGGACGGGCTTGTAAGAGGGGAAGGCACATAATAGAGTCATTTAAGTACAGTTTAAACTTTAATGAGGGTCGGGGATAATTGCAGTGGTAAGGAGTTGTTGCCCACTATAAATCGATATTAAATGTGGCAGACGATGGCTGCTAGAATAACAAACGGATCACATATACGCACTGTGAACAGCCACACTTGGACCCAGGATAGGTGGGGTGATTCACGACACTGAACACAGAACACTGGTCATTACCACACCGGGCTCACACAACAGGCCACGTTTGTTTGACTTGCGGCCACGACTGGGGAAATTCAACTGAAAAAGGAGCAATAGGGCCAAAACCGGCCGTTCTATTACCAGAAGTAAGTGACGAGGAGCCACAACTTTTTGCCACCGGCACTGCATTTTGCGCCAACACAAATTGCACCGACATTTTCAACGCCAACTAATCAATATAAGCGACATGTGGCCGACTGGGAAAAAGGGAGGCGGAAAAGCGCTAAAAAAAAAAAGGCAGGAGGCGGAGGAGACCGAAGCGTTGACCAGGACAAAGGGTAAGTGCTGGCCAAACAATTGCGGTTAATGCTCGCCTGAAATGCGATAGTTATGGCTGATAAAATAATAAACTCTACCCTTCCGTACTCTACTTTATTCCTGTTTTCGCAAACGTTTTTTTTTTTTAAATACAACATTAAATTTAGCTAGGGTATATACATTCGTGACAATAAAAGCCAGAGGGATGCTCATTTGAATGCAGGTCAGGTTGCCAAGCGGTTGCACATTATTTTATTACGAGCTATAGAATCACATTACTCAAAAAGGTAGCCTTCCGAAGACGCCCTAAAAAGGTCAAAAGGCTGGCTCGAAGCAATCATATTCATATTTTCACTTAATTCGCATTTGATTATAGTTCAATTCGCACGCTCATACAGAAAGTAAGACTGGAATCTTTTCGCTTTAACCATTCAAAGGCTTAATGGTACAAAAAGCTTTTCAAAAAGAATTTAAAAAACTAAAATTATTTAAGAACCTTTTCGACATATGGTCGGCACTGTGCAAATAAAAAATTGTTATATGCGCCGTTAATTGTGATAGTTTTTCGGGTCACTGTGATAGTTTTTTCTATTTACTTATATCTAACTTAATGGTCTTAGTAGTAAGTAACTGATTAAAAATAAAATGAATAAATTAATTCCGCAACTACGTTTACGAATACAACTACAACAATCAGTGAGTAAAAAGACAACGAGTATGTAACTACAGGTGGGAGTGATGAACAAATTCGGAGAAGAGAGAGTATATTCAAGCTTTAGAGTTACCAAAACAACAGACAAAGCACGAGGTAATGAGTTAGTATGGAAGAAAGTTAATAACTACTTCTCGACAGGAAAATGTCTGAGGAAAACTTAAAGAAATCTGAGAAGAGAGTTGTTTACAGTTTTTTAGTGAACACACAAACCTTTTTAGGAGAAGATAAGTGTAGTGAAGTTGGCGATGGCATAGAACAATCAGAAGATGCAGAACTACAGCCGCTGCTGGCGCTGCTGCAGCCCCGAACGCTGGCCAGCGGAAGGTGGTGGGGCAGACCGAGCTGCAGCGGCAGTGGTGCAGGTCCCAGCAGCGAGACTAGCTCACCACCGCACACTTCTCCACCAACTCCGCCGGCTCCGCCGACAGGTCGGCCGGCGCTCAGGACTGCATCCGCCGCAGCCGGCGGCTGCTTCTTAGTAGTAGTGGTAGTAGTTCTAGTTACGGCTGATAGATTAACTGTATTATTTACATTGTTGGTCGGTGTCGTGGCCGCCGAAGTGGGCGTGGCCGCAGTCGCAAACATGGCCGACGATGCCACCGCCGCCGCTGGAATGATGGTAAGCGGAGTGCTCGGTGCCGCGAAGAACTGCGCTGGCACCGACACGGGCACCGGACCCGCAATCGGCCCGGCGATCGCGCCCGGAATCTGGGCGGCTGCAGGCTTGGTGGGCGTGGCTGGTGCGGCGCCAACACCCACAGCACTATTCACCTGTAGCTGCATGTATGTCTGCAGCATGGCCTGCGCTTGGGCTTGGGCCTGGGCCTGGTAGTGGAACTGCTGCTGCAGTTGCTGCTGGTGTTGCACTTGCGCCTGCTGCTGCTGCTGCTGGGCGGCAATTGCCGCGACCTGCTGGTGGAAGACGGCCGCCTGCTGTTGCTGCTGCTGTTGGTGGTGCTGCTGCTGCTGGTGCTGCTGGTGCACCTGCATGGCCTGATAGGCGGCGGCGGCTGCTGCCGGGTGCTGCGGATGCTGATGCGGATGTGGATGCGGATGCGTGGACGGCGGTGCGTGCAACAATTGCATTTGCTGTGCGTGGTGGGTTCAGATTATTTGTTTTATTTGGCTTTTGACGAGGGTTTTGTTTGGCTTCAGTTTGGTTTTGAATTGGTTTATTTGTTTTTCTCGCAAATAAAATAAAACACAAATTGCAATAAACTAAACTGTGTGAGAGTGGACTGGACCCTTCTGACGTCATCCGTTTGAAATTAAAAATCAGGGCTTCAGGGCTGCAGAAAAAGAATTGGCTACAGAAGTGATTCGAGGGCTAAGATACAGATAAAAGTCAGGTGAGAGAGAGTAAGGGAGAGCAGTGAGAGCAGTTCTTTGAGCGCTACCAGTGGATAGTCGATAGATAACTCTACAATTAAACCATAGAGAAGCAGAGACAGAGACGAAAGCAGTAGCACAGAGATTTGGCCAATTTCAAGAAATCTTGGCCCGCTCACAACTTGGCCACTAGAAAATACCGTATAAGCGAAGAGAAATGAACGTTTTCGTGGCCAAATCATGAGGCGGGCATCAGCTTCGTTAAATTAGATTTAGATTTTAATGTCAATGGCTGGGCTCGCAACACAACCTAAAAATAAAATATATACACGACCGTAGAGAAAGGTGGAAAATAAGCATTAAAACTAAAACTAGAAGTCGAACCAAGGTAATCAGTGAACTTATAAATATATATTTATGCTGAGGTATTTACAACAAAATCCTTTAACCATGTTCTCCCCCATTGACATTAAAAACCTTTGAAATCGCCCGAAAGAAGGTTTAAAGTTCAGCAAAGTTACGTTTGGTTAGCTGTTAGGTTAGTTATGACAGAAAAATTAACCAAAAATATAAATTAAGGAATATAGTCGACTTTTTGCATAGTAAACTGTACAAGTTACTTATATATTTTAATTATTAAGTAGTCATGGCACATTTGTTGATCAAGGGATCGACAGTTTTCTAATTAAATTTCGAATTCATTTTCAATTATTCTGATGATAATTTAACGGCTCTAATTCTTTCCATCAATTTGTTTGACTTTTGAGTTTGGATTTGATAATTTTATTTGATCGGATTCTGGGCGGCGCTTACCATGATTAAATCTTGTAAAGGGGAGGACTCGGCTGAATCAGATGCAACAATCTCGTTCTTTACCGTTGCTGCTGCTCCTGCCACTGAAGAGGTGGGCGGCGGTGTGGGTGTGGGCGTGGCGGGGGCGTTGACGGCTAGCGACGCTTGAGAGCTGCTGCTGATACTGAGCGCTGCAATCGCTGCTGACGCCGTGGTTTCTGTTAACGCGGCAATGATGACAGTTTTATTGGCAGCGAATGTTGATTAAAATTTCCTTCGCTTCTTTTTTTAGCACTTGGTTGATTTTCGAGAGTTTTTCTTATTGGCGCGTGACGAATTTTAGTATTGAAGATTTCTTTTTGGTATTTTCTTGACGGGTTTTGAGTTTTGGGAAATTGCACAGGATTTGTTGGTTTTTGTGTTTTTTTGTGAATATATGAGCTCTAATTTCTGTATATGTATATTAATGCCAATTGGTTTAGTATTCGAAGTTTTCTATGCCAATTGGGTCATTAGGCTTTACGCAAATAGTTGCTACTTTAAGTCGATGGACGAAAAAACAGCTAACAATATTATTTCTACGACTACTGAGTTTTATCTGATTTTGAGCGTTTCTTAAAAATGTTTATATACTATTATGTCTCTACTTTGGGTTATTAGTAGTTTAAATATGTATAAATAAACGTGTATAAAGATTTGAAAACCTTTCGAAGATTGTTTTATGTTCTTATTGATTGCAAGTTGATTGTAAGTTGTATAGACCGCTTCGGTTTATTATATAAGCCTCGAAGAGTTCTAGAGAAAGTGGTTGTCTTATAGATTGTCGTAGAGTAGAGGTGGTTTTAGGATCTGTAAAGTGCCAAGGCTAGCAAAAGTTTTTTTAATAAATATATGCTGTGGAGAAGATGTATATAAATCCTATATTACGCGCAGAGCGGTATATCTGATGTGTATATGAAATACGCTAATTTTGTGTGATTGTCAAAACGCGATTTCTTGTCGATCGAGGCATTGATTACACCCGGCGATCCCTTTTTAACCTACTTGCTTAAAGTTGTTAACCCCTTACGAGGGAGATGAAGCTAGGAAAATCGTTCTGCTCTTACAATTAAATTTCCATTGAGAATGATTGATATTGAGTTGGGTCTCTGATTGACGCTGCTTGCTTACAATTTATAAATTGACTTTGTCCTCGCCGTCTTATAACCAATACCTAACAAGTATGCAAGAAATTTAGCTTTCTTAAACTGGATTATTTGCTTCACTGGAGAGGAATGTAGGGATTGGTTTGATTGTTTATTAAAACAAACTTTTATACAATTATTCCTCCGTTTACTGTTTGAATTTCTTTGCAGCCTTTTTCGATCGGCTAATAATTTTTGATCGCCGTTCTCTGATGCTGATATGTTGCTATGTAACGGGTTGTGCTTCTTGTAAATATTTATAACTAATTTTTAATTTAACAACCTTTGCATTCTTTAGCTTCTCTGTCACGGTTGCTTTTGACCTTCGTAGCTATCACCTTTTCTTTCTTTTGTTCTTGCTGATTTTTCCCTTGTGGTAACCTTAGTTGATTGATTTTCCTCACCACCATTCAGCTTTCAAATTACGCTCAAAATTAACAACCGAACATACAAATATATAGATATATTCTGATATATAAATTTATATAAAATTCACAATTTTTTTTCTCAACAGGATCTTGATTTTTGTAAATATCTCTTGCAAATCTTTGATTACATTTGGTATATATTATTCAAAATACTGTTCTGTACCGACTGAAATTCTTTTGATTTAGCAACTATTCGCCACATTTGCTTGTTCCTTGTTTTGTGCCTTAGTTTATTCTGTTTTCCTCCAATTAGATTTTTTAATAGATGCTGTTCAGTAATAGTGTGATGGCTGATGGGTTATATGGCAGGGCAGGGATTGAATGGGGGTTAGAAAAATACCAAGGGAATGTTGTTGTCTTTAGCTCTTGATTTATTTCATTTATGCAGGGTCTAGTCTGGCAAATCTGGGTTGGTCAAGAGATTCCAAAATTTTGCGATTATTTACTTGTGAGGTTCTTGGTAAAATCGAATTTAAATAAATAAATAGAACCGAATTTCGAATCTTTACTTTTTTTTACTTTTGTACATTTTCTCGCCAATTCAATGCCAAACATGAAGCTCAAAAAATTTTAATAAATCATATTAAATGAACATCAATTAAAAATGAATAGCATTTCGCATTTTAAAAGAAACAACAAAACAAGACACAATAACATTTAAAAATAATTTGCTCTTATTACCAATTATGTGTCGAGTCAGAGCCGTTGAAGTTGAAATAGGCTTTTGATATTAGTTTTATTATTTTTTTATATTGTGTCGAATTCTTTTGATTTTATTTTTGATCAATATTTTTGTTAGGTAATATTTCTGTTGTTGCGGATCTTGGAGGTATTTTTGCTCTGAAACAAAGGCAGCAAATAATTTATGGAATAATTCGCGATTTTCAACATTTTGTGCTCATCGAGTAAATAATTTAACTTTTTGTGAGGTATTCCTTATTCTCTTTTCGAGTTGTGAAAAAAACACGTTTTCGTCCGAGAACCGACTGAAAGCCCATATGGCTCTCTCTTTAGATTCTGATTAACACGCACGAACTTTCTTAGCTTTACTGGTTTGTTGTGCCGCTGTGGTTCTTGTTGTTGAGTCACACAATGGCCCGCTGCAAAAACAGGTAAGAGAGTTCAAGCCCGTGAAACGCCGCGTGGGCCGCACTACGCCAACGTGTAATTACAACAATAAAAATAAACTACGGGATTTATTTGAATGCGTACTTAATACGCCAACAGCGGCAGCGACAAGTGTCCAAGAGGCTATGGCCAGGCTCTCTATCTGTATGCGGCCTATTGAAACGCAGGCCATAAGGTTTAATGGCCAGAAGTCGACTCGACTCGGAGTTAACTGAGGAAGACAACGTTTGCGTTTTTGCCTGCTATTTTTTCGTTTTTCTCTTTCGGTTTTCGTTTCGTGTTGTTTTGCCTTTATTTTCGGTTCTTTTTTTTTTTTTTTTTTTTTTTTATTGGGCCTGCAAACACAAAAACGTGTTTCTTTGTTGGCGAGACTCTTGGTTTTGCCGGCTTGAAAAATTTCTTCGCCTATGTCTGGCTTAAACGCAGAAAGAAGAGCGAGAGGCGCAGTCTGATGAAGGTTCAGAACTTGTTGTTGCCAAGGCCTATAAGAAGAATCATCGTCCCGAGAACTAGAGAGCGGCTCTCGAGCAACGAACTTTTGCCAGCAACTCGGGCACCGCTTTACTCGTTCTTTGCTTATTGTTAAATTATTTCTTTCTTGAGCAAAAAATATTCCTATTGTTCTGTTGTGTTTTTGTTCTGTTTAATGATCTTTTCTTACATAGAGAGCGCAAGGTGCGAAAGAAACACTCGGAAACAAAAATAAGAATTAAGTTTTATTGGTTAGGACCTTTAATTTGATTCACACGCGCAAAAAGTGAAAACACCACGAAGCCGGAAGTCGATTCGATTTTACTTTTTAATTTGTGAAGCTCGGATTAGAATATTTTTGGGGAGTGGACCTGGGACTGTTGTGATCTGTTCAAGTCGGGCACTGAATGCGAACTGCGCGTGTTATTTTCTTTTTATCATTATCCGCGTGCTGATTGCGAGGAGTTGTTGCTGCTGTTGCGGCTGTTTTCAATTTGAACCCGACTTTGATTTGGATATTGAAATTCGTGAGTGGAGAGTATGTGAGAGAGTGTTCTAGTGGCTCCTGCTGCTGATGTTGCTGCCGTGCTGTTGCTGTTGCTGCTGCTGCTGATGTTGCTACTAGCGGTGGTGGAGAGGATGTCGCTGGCGTTCGCGGAGGTATGAGGCGGTGGTTGGTTGTGGGCGCTGGCGGCGACGGCAACTGCGACTGCGACGCCAACTTTCGATGATGGCTGAACGGAGCCGGGGAACTAAGAACAATAAGGGCTACCGACCCGATGCTACTGCTGCTGTTATACTAGGTGATTTGATTCCTATAGAGAGCCAACGAGCTGAGCGGCGGACAGAGTTGGAACGGGTTAAAGCAAAGACTGTACGAAGACTGAAGTAAGAACGACTGGCATTCTAAGGTAATATACCTTTTTGTTTCGGAGTCGGACGCCTCTGCCGCTGCCTCTGCCGCTGCCGCAGTCGCTGCCGGGATTGAATCTGTTGCTGCTGCGCCGGCAGCGACAGCGATAGAGGCGGCGACGCGTGTTAACCAAAATAAAGCAACAGTGGGCCCAGGAACCAGACTCGGGCTCGAAGAACGAACGCGCCCGAGACGAGCGGCCACGAAACGGGCGTCGTGGGCAGAATTTCTCCTCTTGGCAGCGACGACTCCGAAAATATGTGGTTTAAAAAAAGAGGCTTCAGTAGCACACCTTTTGGCCTTCTCCTGTTCACAGTTCTCTCTCGCTCTCTCAGCTGTTGGTCTGCTACCTGCCGGCGGATTTATTATACGTATGTCTTCCTCTTAGTGGATTTTTCAGGTGCGCAATTATCGAGATACAATGAGCTCTGACTCTTGCAGTACATACACACGTGCGTATATTTGAGGAATGCTGACAGCCTTTCAGAGGCAGAATAAATTCATTACTGTATAAGAGTTTTGAGGATCGAATCTGAAGGGGACGTCTTTTTGGATTGCCGAAGGCTGCCCCCAAAGCTCCCTATCCTTTTGAGTTGCTCCTCTTGTAATCGCAATTGTTGCAGTAACATTACTGGCACACACGCACACACTGGCAGGATACAAGCTCACACTTGTGCACTCCTCCCACGTGAGACAGCAACTGCATGCGCCATGCGTGTGCGCCACCCAAAACCCTCAGGTGCAAGCGAGAGGTTCGAGGGTGCGAGCGAAAAGCACATAGCTACGGCAGCACCAAAAAAAAGGAAAACCAAACCGACGTCGGCAGCAAAATCAACGAGAATATAATAATTGTTACACCTGCTTCGGAAATGTGGCAAAAGGGGGTGGCACGCACACACACACACACACCCGGAAAACCGAAGCACGCTCGGTTTTCAGGTGAGCATTTAACACCCCCAAAAACGCAGCGAAAAGTGCCGAAGTGCGGAAAAGCGAAGCTCGACCAAGGCTGACGAAGCGAAAGCTAGCGGAAAAGCCCACCGAGTTTTCCCGACGTCCACCACCCGACGTTGACTCCGAACGTCGGCAGAGCGCATGACGCCAAGGTGCGAATTATGCGTAGGTATGCGGGCAGCGAACGTGTGTGAGTGTGCTTTTGCGGTATGGGTGGGTGGATTGGCTTACCCCCCAAACAGGGGAGAGAGCCGAGTTCGAAATTTGTTGTAAGGGGTAGTAAAATCTAACATAAGGGGAATCCGTTTCCCGAAAGCACCAAAGCTTTCTGCTAAGTTAGGGGAGTAGATGGTTAAAAGGCAATCCAGGTTTAACTTTTAACCAACAATTGGTGCAACAAACAATTCGGATCGGTTAAAAAAGAACAACAACAAAAGATGAAGTTGGCTAAAGGATCAAGTTAACAACTCTTAGAGGTAGCAACTTCCAAATTAAAATCGGCCTAGATATGGACTCTTAATCTACCAATTTGTTTTAGCTTTTTGGGACCCTTGGAATAAGTTTCTATCAGGTGGTAAGAGGTTCAAAAAATGAATGAACGTTAAATAAAAGTTAGTTTTGGAAATGCAGTTTTGGGCCAAATTTCTGCACTTTCTGGGCCATCGCAAATGCGGAATTTAACAACATGTATGTGGGTCATCGCGTGGAATACACAAAAAAACACATGTTAAGCACAACTCTTTTTATATATAAAGAAAATTACCAGTAGTTTTTGAAAATGCTTTACGTATTACACCGAAAATATAAAAAATTATATTTTCAATAAATGTTGTACAAAATATTTTCTGTTATTTTGTTTTTCAATTGTGAAACTGGGTAACTTCTGGAAGTGTCGCTGAGGTGGCACTGTTCTTTCAAAAGGACGTTAGTTCCGCGATCCGAAAGCAATATTGCGAAAGACCATTTTCAACTTTTTTCGCGGTAAAAAATGTTTGCAGGGTAAAGAGACAACCTTTAATGTACAAATTCCTGAAGAAATTACAGTTTGAAAACTTTAACTAAAATGTTGAATTGATTCACTTTAAAAATACGTGTTTTGAAAAAGGAACAACAAACTCTTAAAGGTGAGCCCCTTTGAATCGGGTTACATATGAGAATGCATACAAATAGTAGCAAGATACGAGATTTCCCTTCTGACACACGCACCGGCAAATCCTTTAATTCACTTTTTCTCCTGCCAGCATGTAAATTTGTTTTGTGATAATAAATAAAATCAAATATAGTATAGGTACAGCCTTTGTTGTTTTTTTAAGAACTTTTAACGCAGCTAGTCCGTCCGTAAGCTGAATCGAAGGTTTTAGCTTTGTCAGCTGGTTGCTTTGGTATTTTATTTTATAAGCACCCTCTGTTGCAAATAACACTTTTAGAGGAGCGTTAAAACCGACGATGAGCCAATGTCTGTGTGCATAAAAATCGCTTTGTTATTGTTGTCGTTGCCAGTTGTGGCAACAGCAACAACGGAGGGCCTAACAACAACATGCGAATCAGCATCATCATCGATGACGCCGAAGAGAGCTGTTGTAGTTGTAAACGGTTTATGGGATTTACGCGCAATTTGCTGGAAACTTTCATGGCACTGCACTTAGCGGCAATCAGTTGACTATATATTTTAAATTTTGTGTTTGATAAAAAACATTCTTCTTTCCCGGTTTTTGCTATACATTTTTAAAAAAAATTTAATTTTTAAGTAAATATTACAAATATATTTAAATGAACTTTACTACCATTTACTTTATGGCATTTTTAATCGATTTCTGTCACTGTCAAAATTGTTTGTAGAAAAAGGATCTGGGACTTGGATACGAATTCAGCATTTCTGTCAGTGTACTTTCGGTTGGTTGAGTAAGGTTCGGGGGAAATGGGCACATATAAAACAATATGCGCCCCAATCTAAGCCGGGCTCGTTAAATAAATTCATTTTTTTTTGTTGCCTTGTCCCCCACTGAACTCCTTTGAACCACCCTATATTAGTCCCAATTTTGGTTGTTGTATTTCAAACAGAGCAACATAAATTAAATGTAAAATTCAGCTTACCTGCAAAGAGCATAAAAAACGCGTTTCAGAGCAACAAAATATAAATTTCAAACTCGAAATTGATTAAACCGTAAATGCTGCTCGCCGAAAATGGTATAGCCCCGCTTTACGTACAAATTTACTCAATTGGCTGAATAATCGGATAATGCAGTAGATACGGGCTCCATCAGCATAGATTTTGGCAACATTGTTAAAGCAACAAGTACAGCCACCGCACCAAAGACAACATGCAACAATTCGCCACTCTAGACACGAGAAACATACCGACGACTTATATTATGTGCCTTTGCCCGCTTATTATGTGTGCTTCCCCGATGCAGTCGCATAATTTTCCTAACCAAGTTACCAGAATGCTGGCAAGCGGTGCAACAGGCGGGGAAAGGCAGCAGTTAGTCGAACGGCTCAGGCATGCAACAGGCAATGAATCTCAATCTCAGCAGCGATGTCGCTGAGCCGGGACTAGCAACGAATGGTCAACAACCAAGAGCAGCACATGGCCAGAGGAGAAGCAGTCAAGAAAGCTAGCGGTGCCGTTGACTTGGCAATTCAAGTGCAACAAGCTGGCGAACCAAAACTGCAATGGCATGGGACTTTTTAGTAATTATCAGTCGAAGTTTGATATACTCTATTTTAAAACGTCTACTGAAGAACCAAATAAAAGAAAAAATTATTAAAAATAATTTTAAAAGATATTAAAAACAGAAACCTTTTTTATAGTGAATAAAAATTACCAATAGAATTTTTTTAATATTTGTATTGCATTGATATTTGCTTATCAGAATTAAAATTTACCAACAATTGTATACAACAAGTAGGACAACAATGCCCACTTCGAATACTTGCTTTTAGGGTATAGACCAAAGCAACCAAGAACGTCGGGAGCTGCAGACGACATTCAGCTGCAAGTTGGATGTTAGTGAGGAGGAATATGCGGTAACTGCATATACTATACATATATATATATATTCCCAGTCTCAGTCCAATACCAACCTAAAGTTGTTGCTTCAGTCCGGCGAAGGAAGCCAAGCGAATCTGGCGGCCCACCAACAAAATGCACGAAACAGTCAACTTGCCACATTTTAATTCACTCGATTTTTTCTTCTGAAGGTATTCCTTTTTCTTATTTTTCGTTTTACTAGCTCTAGCCATTTCTATCTACCCCTCTGTCGACGGCTTGCTTGTATGCACTGGGAATAAATTATTGAGCAATTATAAAACCTAGATAACAACATTCGTTCAAAATTTAAACGGGTTAATAAATCAGATACAATTCCTAACAGCACCGTAAGAAAAACTAAGAAAAACTTAATGTTTCCCTATTTTAATAGAAATGAAAATGCATTATATTTACAGATATTAAAATGGTCAGGCACCTTTTTTCGCAGTGCTGAAATGGCAGAACGGCACGTTTTGCCAGAAACAGTGAAGTCTGTAGACAGAGACAGCAAAAGTTATAAGTACTCCCCTCTCCAGCTTAACTTGGCTCACTGCATTCCTTATATTTTCATTGCTGCTCTTGGCCATAAGTCGCTGTTGGTATGTGCACCGCCTCTAGCTATAACTTTACCCAAGCACATGGTAATAGAAGTAAGTTGAATTTGATTTTTTTTTTTTTGTCTACAAATAATGATATCGATATCAGACTTTTGAGAAATGCATCCTGAGCCTTGAAATTCACTATAAAACATAATTTGCTGGGATATTTCTCTATATTATTATAAAACATTTCAAAGTTGTCTTCTTCAAATTTCATTGCACCAAGCCACAGTTCAATATTTTGTTCTTATAACCCTATTTCCCCTATAAACCCACCGCTGACCAAAAGCAAAGGCATCTCCGATTTCAAGATCCAGGCGCAAACTCGGGCCAAACCAACGCGATCTCCCATGAACGCTCTGCATCATGGTGGCGGCGAAACATTTTCAATAAC